CATTTGCTTGGAAGACAATGAAGGGGAGGCAGAACAGACTGGGAAACTACAGCTTGCCACAGTAAGAGAAGAGTACAATCTTTGTGCCCAGATTTCTTTGCTCTGCAGGATAAGTTTTACAAAGCTGACAACCGGTAGCAACATGTAGTGGCCCCAGGCATCATGCCTGCCTATCAAAGACTTGGATTTTAGCCCTAGAGAAATTACAACTTCTCAGTTCTCTGGAAGCTATATAGGCCAAGAAGAAAGAAAGAGAGTAATGAATGACCTAACTAAAAATTATTTTAATATACTGATTGCATACTGTAAGTCATAAACTTAGGAGTGTGGAGACAACTCGGGGAAGATGGGGAGGAGGAAGACATCTTGAATTTGGCAGGACCAGCATAGCCACAGATCACAAAAAACAACCGACTTGGGCAGCTGTGACAGTGAAGTCATCTACTGGAGTGGTAGGGACTGGCATACCAAATGGAAAGTATGGATCCAACAGATAAGCCATGGAGAAAAAGGAGGGGAAACTCAGCAGTTCAGACTGGAAAAGACAGCAGAGAAAAGACAGGTTCAAAAGTCCTGAGTCGAGAAGCCAGTCAGCAGGTGTGTGGAGAAAAGAGAGAAGAGGGAGATAAACCCAAGGATGCTGCACAGAAGTCAATAAAAAGGCATTTGGCCTGCAGCAGTTCCCAAGTGCTTGTGGCTTACAGCCTCACCACTGCATGTTCCTCTGCAGGACTCAAGGCCACTCTGGCCATCTCTCTGCTGGGTGGCAAGAGCAAGCAGACACAGCCTGGCTCTCACATGCTGCTCATACACTGACCATATAGAAGATTCCTCACCACTGAAAGAGCCTTGCTGCTGCATACCACCAAGGCAGGTTTGCACCCATGCACTCAAGAGGGTAGTGGTGTAGGGCCAGGAAAGGGCGTAAGTTTCTGCACAGACACAGTAACTCTGCTGTATTTCCGTAACGTCCACATTAATACAGTGCTCATCAGTTAAAACTGCCAAACCAAAGGCCCAAAGCTACGGTCAGAGACTTTTTCTGAAGCCCTGCAAGAGACCCAAACTGCTTCAGCTTCCTCTCCCAAATGTCAGCCTTGAGCCACTCTTGTCTGGCTGGCAGAAGCATGTGATGTGAAATAAAAGCCAGGAAATAAGACTTTCTGAATAAACATCTATTTGGTGAAAAATACTTCTGATTTTTGGCAGAGAAATGTCAGAAACCTGAAGCCCTATGTATAGCATACCTACAGAGTGCATTTTCTATTTAAAGGGAAGCCGCAGCTGTTTGTAGCTCTTAGTGAAGAATAATGCCTGGGAATAAATTACTGCCATTTCTGAGAGACATTTCTCTAATGGCAGTGATTCTTCCCTTTTTCCCCTCTCCCTGTAGATACCAAGTGCCACGTACCGGGCAGTTGTTCAGAAGAACGGACACACACAGCTCTTGCTTTTGTCAGGAGCCTGGTAATTTCCGTAGAAAACCATGAAGTGATTTAGCATATGGATACCAAAGTGATTCAAAAAGCAAAGACATTCAGAAACATTAAGGTTGCATGTGTCAGAATGTCCCATCACTCTTCCAAGATGTGCACAACTCATCACTGTTTGAACAGGCATCACTGCCAACCACACCACAAACTCAGCACCGAGGCTCAAGGTGTTGGAGAGGGCCGCTGTCAGAAAACCACTGTAAAAGTCTCACTAGTGTTCAATTTTCATCACTTGTGTATGCCTCCTCTCTGAGGGGCTGCCACAGCGGCCGTGCGGAGAAGGTGATGCTCTGGCGAGAGGGTGTGCTGGGGCTGCTGCCAGCCCAGCCAGGTGCCTCAAGCAGTGGCACTGACATCAGCTCCAGCAGCTGTCGCTCCCAGCCCCACTGCAGGTCCAGGTGCCAGGAAAAACAGCCTGCGGCCTGTGGAGCTGTACAGACGAGATAGGACCATGGTGAAAGGAGCAAAGAGGGCCAAGCAGTGGAGAAAGGAGGCAGCAGCTCAGAAATGGGATTGAACCGGGGCTAAGCCCTGTGCAGCTGCGGTCCCCAAGACTCCCTCTGAGGTCAGCCCTTACGGCAGCAGGTTCCCACCACAGGCAGGCTTGGAAAGCCTGTCAGAGACAGAAGCAGGGATGCTTACTATCCTGACATCTGCAGTTTGCCCCAAATGACAGTCATAAATATGAGATCAACTGTAGACTTTTCAGTTATTGACACATACTGGATTTAGAGATTTATTTTCCATTTCCCACAAACTGTGCCAGAGGTTTTCGCATAAGCACAAAAAAAAAAGGGAAGAAATGCCTGTGAGTGAGGAACACGAAGAGTTTATTCACTGCTCCTGTCAGAATGTGTTTGTGCTTGTGTGGCTAGCACTCCAAAAAAGCTGCAGCATATGTTTCAGGATGGAAAAAAAACCCCACAACTCAGGATACCTAATTCCTACCAGAAAATTGCCAAACCATATGCTGGAATTCTCAAGGTAACCCCCCTGCGAGAGCAAAGGAGCCTCATGCCACTTTGTTTTTACCCCTTACTAAGTGAAATAAACATTCCTCCTTAACAAATCCTCCTGACATCCCTTTTTATTTTTGCTAAAGAGGAATATGGACTTGATCTGAACAAGCTCTGCTATTCCAGAAATGTGCTTCATCCGAATGAGGAGAGCAAGAGAAAGGAAGCAAGAAATTTGTACTGTTTAGTAAACAGGCAGTTTCTAGGTGGATACAATACACTGGTCCCAATTTACTGTCCCCCGCCCCCACCCCCCCTTCTTCTGAAATTTGCCTGGGTGGCAGGAGGAGGCAGCGGAAGGGATGAGAACAGCTACTGCTTCCAACGGAAAGGTCTGATCGCTTTCCACGCATCCCAATGTGACAACACCCTGCAAACACTCACAGAGGAGAGTAGTATTTTTCAGTAAAATCATTGTTATGCTGGCATTTCCTTTTAGCAGAAACACCATCCACCCTCATCTCTGGTATTCTTATCTTCCTGGGAGAATAAAGGGAAGAAGGGAGGAGAGAGAGGAAAAACCTGGCTGACCACATCCTTCTTGCAGCACTGTCCTCCAAACAGAGCCAGGTGACAGAATATGCTCGCGGGGAACTTCTAAAGAACTCTCAATCATCTATGAATGACTCCCAAAAGAAAGCAGTCCTGGATGCCAGGGTGAGAGCAGTTCTCAATAGAACTTTCTTTCCAGCACTACCTGGTGAGAAGAGCACTGCTTTTTCTGCACACACCTGGGACTCATGAGTACAATTCAGGGTTTTGTCACTGCAACGGCAGACCACCTAAGTGGGCTCATTTTAAACCATTTAGGACAGGGCAGAATGCAATAATTACACTGACAGCATCTTCAGCAGATACTCCATCACCGTGATTGCCTCCTTCTCTCATGCATTTTATCTGGCTGATCTGGCACACCACATACCTTGGAGGACCCAGGGAATGCTCTTCTCCATACGAGTCAGTGCTGCTGTTGCAATCAGTGGAGGTGATTGCAACATCTTGAACAAACATCTCCTGTTATCCCAACAGCTCTGCATGCTAGGACAGTTTATTATTATTATTACTTAAAGCTGCCCTCCTCTGTTCTAGGATGTCAGCGTGCAAAGTAAGCCCTTGTGGTTTCAAAGAAGTCTTTTAAAGTGTGGGAATAAGCTGATATGGCCCCACATCTGCTTGGATACATAGACAGTGAGAAGTTGCAGATCTGAGAGGCCTCTTATTCATCTTAATCAGTTACTAACTTGGCAGTGCAGTGGTACTAGTAGCTAACAATTCCAAATATCAGCTTTGTTAACTATTTCACTGTAGATCAAAGCATGTGGGAAAGGGGAGAGATTATGAAGATTTTTCAGTGTTCTCTCTAACATGTATTTTTCAAGTGATTCTTGGGAAAGCAAGACTCTCTCCATCTGCTTCCCAAAGTCTAAACCCAAAGGTAAAAGCAGAGCAAAGGAGAGCATCCAGCTTCCAGGGAGCTAAAGACATGCCCTAAAGACATGCCCAGCACTCAGAAGATATATTTATATTTACTAATTTTATGTAAAGCACAATAACTATTTGCTCAAACTGGAAGAATCTATAGCTGTTTTATCACTACTAACATCCTGAAGGACCACTGCATACTTTGGGCATAAGGATTTAAATACTAACCTAACTTTGAAATTACCAAGGTTCATTCTTAAGATAAAAGGATTATACTCAAATTTGGCAGGCAGAGAATTCTTGTTTTCCATGCTCTTTGAGGATGTTTCTGTTTCAACCCAGAAAAGCAGTGGCCTTCATGAGAAAAACAATGAACATAAAAATATGTATGCCTTCTCTTTAGCCATTCCTCATGGGAACAGTTTATCATATACCACAACTGATCAGGGTCTTAGTTATGCAACTGTATTTCCCTCTGAAAGGTGTGCTACTTCATTTCCCATGAACACGAACCTCTGAGAGGAGCACTTGTATTGAAAATCCTCAAACTAATGTAACAAACTGATCAAAGCAACAGGAGTTTGGAATACCAAGCACAAAAAACCTTCTTAGCATTCCTTAACTTGAAAGTGACCAAACAATTTCAACCACTGCATAGGCATTTATAGAACTCCTGAATCTGACTTGTAGATTGCTGAACTGTTATCCATAGTTTTTTTCATTCTTCTTAGCCTACAGAGTCACATGCCTTGAAATGCAGGCTTACGTATTTAACTAGAAAGTGATAGTTGTGTGTTAAATAACTGTAGCAGTCCACAGAAAAGAAATCCAGCATCTTTCCTCAGATAACACTGTTCTGCCTTTGAAGACATTAAAAGAAAGAAAAAAAGAGAGAGGGAGAGAAATTCAAGCCTGGCTTTGCAGCACAACCCAAACACACCTGCCTTTGGTTTCAGCAGAGAGAAAAGATGCTCAGTACATCACAGGGATGGAAGCAAACACCAAAGTGCAGGTACCACCCCCCAAAAGACACAACTGCAAATACATGTTATTGCTGCTAGGAACTCACAACATTCACTATGTTTTTCCTCAGGGAATTCTGGATTATCCTTTAGCATGAAGATTTTTCAGAAACTGCCGGACTGCTCACAGGTCCTCACTGGCTTTCCTCTTTCAAACAAAGTAAGTTAGAGCTGTAAAAGAAAAGCAAAACAAAGTAAAAAAAGGAAAGCAAAGAATAAAAGGAGAAAAATCTACAGAGCTGCTTAGCAAATAAACAATTGATTCCTACATCTCCTTGAAGCAAATACATTTTTAATGAGCTCCCAGGATGGACATTCCCGTACAGCGTGAGTGCACGTCAAATTCTGATCCAGCATAGGAAGAATCATTTGTTCTTCTTATTACCAACAATTAAAACCCAGTTCAGAGGCAAAAAGGCAAATACATAATTAAAATAGTTCTTGGATACTTCTGTTGCCATAACAAGAGGAAGAAAAAACTACTTAGGGTTGTTGTTTTGGAAAGTGTCTGGAAACAAAGCCCATGGTGTGCAGAGACATCTACACAGGAAGATTTTTGTTCTCAACGAACCGCTCTAAGAGGACACAAACACCTATTTATTTCTGTGGTCATCTATAATAATTGCAGCAGAGGGGTACTGAAACCAAAAATGCACACACACTTGCTGTTCCTCACTAGGAAGTATTTTTCACATCTCAGACTTAATATCATGTGGTTCTTTCATACTTATTTTTTGACAAAAATTCTTTGGCACCAATTTTTTGCCCTATTGTACAATATATTGAACTATCCTAAGCCTTTTTACTGGGGTCTGGGACTATTGCTGAGCTTCACTTCCATGTGAACCTCACACACAGTACTTAAAATAGAGTGTGTATTTCCACAGGGCCCAAATTAACCGTTTTTCCTTCAGCCAGGTTCCCAGGGTCTACTTGTTCTTCCTGAATCCTTAGTTTCACTTTGTGCCACAGGTTTGTGGCACCTGTCCTACCTCCTTGAATTCAGGCTCCTCAAACACTTCACATGTAATTTTCAAGATTCCTGCACATAGATCCCATCCTACCAGTGCTATGATGAAATCTGTGTCCCTGAACTGAAAATGTGCAGGACTAAAGTCTACACCTAAGGCAGTGCAAACTCTCTTTATTTTCAGTGCAGGAAACTAGGCAATCTAGAAAATGATGAATTTGACCTATCTTAAGCATCTGCTCTAGGACAGAATGAATCACTCTCTAGAAAGGTCTGCCTCTCTCCCTCCATAAAGTGAGTCTAGACACTGAGCTCAGATTCGATGGCTACAAATGAATGCAGATGAGTTTCACCCTTCATGAAGGCAGGAAACAAGTCAGACAGATGGACAAGAGCAGCTCACGGGTGAAGAGCGGAGAGAAGGCAATGCAGTGATAACTACTCAAAAAGGTTTACAGCCCTGAGACAGTCTGGTTTATTTGAACATACAAAGCAACAACAAAACTTTCCAAAACCAGTATCTGGCCAGCTAACCCAGCTCTGGCATAAGGCTCCTCCAGGATTTACTGGCTGAGGCTAAGCTCTTGCAGAGGAGCATTCATGAACCAGTATCCAGCTGGTTGGCACTCTCCAAGGTACACTGGCAACGATGATGATTACCACTAGTCTCTTACTTATCTTTGTCTTCCCCTCAGTGGACTGTAGCAATGCCAGATACCTATTACAGAAATCTTCCCAGCTTCAGAAACTCTGAGCTGGAGGGGCAACTCCTGTATGACAGAGACACTGCAAGCCTTCAGGTACCCAGGCCCTGGCTACACTTACAGAACTTTGATCACCAGCTTCTCTCCTCTACTGAGACTCTGCTGCTAATCTCATAGAGAAGCACATCATCAGACATGACCGCACAAAATTTTTAACTTTAGAAAGCAGACCAAAAAGAGAAAAAACACACAAACTTACTGTTAAGTCAACCCTTAAAATTTTGCTTAACCCAAACCAATTAATTTTCAAGCATTCATTTTTTCTTTAGAATTATATGAATGTCAAGATTGGAAAAAAACCAAGAAAACAACAAGCTCAAAATACTCAAACCATTTTATTTCTATGTGTTAGCATTTTGTTTAAAAGTGTTTAAATGAAACATTTCAGCACTTTAAAAATTCTGTGGTTTTTCCTGCAATAATTTGGCAATCCAAAAATCTCCTAAAAATTCAATTTTTCAGTCTTCATCTCTTGTCATTCAACATTCAGAGGAACCTGAAAATGGTGTCTGAAGGACTATAAGCAAATATTTAACATTTCTGCCAAAATTAGACAACTTCTAATTATTTTTCATAAGAGCACGTAAATTTACTCCATGCGAGTCCCATACCAGATTTTGCAGGTCCAGCTTGCACAGACTCCTCTGAGCCTCCTTGGAGAGTCAGTTGTGCGAAATACTGGGCTGAAACCCAGCACACTCAAAGTCCTTCCACTAACTTCAACAGGTGGGATTAGGATTTTGATCTTGTTCAAGTTAAACAGGGCTCCAACTACTGAAATGCTGCATGCTAACTATGCTTGATCTTGCTATCAGTCTGGAATTTGTCTTCCAGACCCCTGCCAGCACATGGACACAGAAACAAGTCACAAGCAGTATCTGTGCAATATAGTGCAGTGGTGTTCTGCAGCTGTCATCCTTCTCCATGCACTCTTATTTCATAGGAAAGCTGACATGAAGCAAGGTAGCCTACCCCTCAGGGAAAAAGGTGAGAGACCTTGTATTTACCACAGGGTGTCTTTGCACCACGCACACAGCCAGTTATTATGGAGCAGATGATGTGCTGTAAATTCACAAGCTAGTTTAATCTGCTACAACTTGCTCACTTGACCTTAGCCGTAGGCACTTCTTTCTGCAAGGGGCAAGGCATGTCTGCCTACAGATGTTCCCAGACATTTTTATGCTTAAGATTTAAAGACAGCCAGGCACAAATTTCAAGACCTGCAGGGAGATATGCTGCTCCTTGAAGTGCAATCCCAACCTGAAAAGCAAAGCACTCATTCCCTAATTGGGACGATCTTTAAGCTATGCAGACCTCATGGGCTGCGATTACATGCTCTTCTTGGAACGTGCAAAAGAGCTGTAACTTGGAGGGACCCACCAAGGAAGGTTGGTTGGCAGTAACAAGGTCTTAAACTGAAGTTTCAACATGATCAATGAATCATTATCACATACATGGTTACCGATAACATCTTTGCTATAAATGGGAAGTGTTATGCAACGAAGCTGTTTTTCAGAGTCCCACAGCATTGTAGAAATTCAAGTATCACAGCATAGACCTGCCTTTGAGTGCTAAAAGGACTGAATTGAAAGATTAGAAGTGTAATTAAGAGATGAACAGACCTCAAATCAAAGATCATGGAAGTATTTCCTGGGAGTATTTAGATACTAAAATTGGACCCCAGAGCAATCAGCAAATAAGAACCATAGTACAAGTGAGCAACTGCAAATTGGCAAAACTGAAAACCAGAAGCTGGCTCTGTGCAATAATCTGCATTTATTCCAAGAAAAGATCATGCTCTACATTTTGCTTTGAAGAGCAGGCAGTGAGAGATCACTTTTTCTAGTCCTTTCCTGCAAGTTTTTATTTGCCATTCCTTGCTCTCCTGCATGATGTAATTTGGTTTTCCTAATTCACAAATCAGCGTAAGCTAATAAAACTGTTTAAGAGATGGCAGTGTTGTTCCCAAGTTGTTTCGTTGTTCGCTATTATCCCACAACTAATCCTTCAACTCAAATAAAACAGTAATTCATTTCCTCCTTTATTCTCTCTCTGCATGAAATAATTTTAGACAGGTTCAATCCTGCCCCACCGCAAATGGGAAAGGCAAGGTTGTATCTTCCTGGAGTGTGTGTGATTTCAATTACCTAATGTGCGTATCATCTATCACATCAGGAAAAATCTTCTAAATTATTTGCAACAGGTTTAGCTGATTTTACACATATAGAAAAGATTTTAATGGAAATAAAAAAAAAAAACAAACAAACAAAACCAAAACCACAAAACAAACCAAGAATTAACTGTCTTTTAGATTTCAAGTTAATAAAAACTTCTCTATACCAGCCATGCCAAACATTAACCATCTGGACATCACCCATTTCCTGACATTTTGTCTAGTGTACAAAAGCTGCTCCTCATGAAGATGATTCATCTTTACATTAATTGCTCTGCTAGTGTAAAAAAGACTGAAATCACAATTATGCCTACTTTAAGGCTATGGTAAAGGAATATTGTCTTAGCACTAAAGAGGCTCCCTTTGCATAAAGCAGACAGGCAACACTCTCATTCTTGTTTAGCACCCACTTCTCATCTGAAGCTTGCTTCTCCACATCTTTGTCACATCAACAAGCACTGCCCATGGCTTTGCATATGATCCATAGTGAAATGCCAAACTTAGAATAATAGAATCATAGAACAGTTAGGGTTGGAAAGGACCTTCAGATCATCTAGTTCCAACCCCCCTGCCATGGGCAGGGACACCTTACGCTAAACCATGTCACCCAAGGTTCTGTCCAACCTGGCCTTGAACACTGCCAGGGATGGAGCATTCACAACTTCCTTGGGCAACCTATTCCAGTGCCTCACCACCCTAACAGTAAAGAACTTCTTCCTTATATCCAATCTAAACTTCCCCTGTTTAAGCTTTTACCTGTTACCCCTTGTCCTATCACTACAGTCCCTAATGAAGAGTCCCTCCCCAGCATCCCTATAGGCCCCCTTCAGATACTGGAAGGCTGCTATGAGGTCTCCACGCAGCCTTCTCTTCTCCAGGCTGAACAGCCCCAACTTTCTCAGCCTATCTTCATATGGGAGATGCTCCAGTCCCCTGATCGTCCTCGTGGCCCTTCTCTGGACTTGTTCCAACAGTTCCATGTCCTTTTTATGTTGAGGACACCAGAACTGCACACAGTACTCCAGCTGAGGTCTCACAAGGTGTGAAGTTTGTGAAAGGTGAATAACTGTATCTTGGTGTAAGGGAATAGTAAATCAAGTTGTCAGCACTTCACATATCCAGAAGGTCCTAAACCAGAAAACCAGCATGCAGATGATGAGGCTCAGACAAGGAAGCAATCCATCCTGCCCCACAATTTGTATTAAGGGGAGGAAGATCTATTTTACCTTCCCCAGCTCTGTCAACACATCCACGGGCCGCCCAG